CCTGTACCCCAGTTCTGTATGGATAAATAAATAAATATTTAAATACACACACACACATATGTGTGTGTGTGTGTGTGTGTATATATACTGTTCTTGGAGAAATAAAGTCTTTGTCCTGATGTGATTTCCATTAGATAGATAAAATATTTTTGTAGGAAAGGGTATAAATTTTAAAATTTTGATAACAAACATATAACATGTAATTAATTATACTAGTTGAGAAAGATTATGTCTAATAAGCAGATATACTTCACTTAGTATGCAGAGTAATTGCAATTTTAAAAATTAATTTCCAACATCAAATCAAGGAGTTAACTATAATAAATCTTCTGTCATCTCATAAAGACTAGAAAAGCTAGTAATGCAAATTATACATTTCCATGGGACAACTAGAGTCAAGTAATGAGAGTGTAAAAGTTTGCCATAGTCCTCACCATTCCAAATTGTCTTACATTAGGTCATTTCACACATTTATATCACCTGCCTGATTTTTACACATTTTGAATTTTTTATGGAATAAAGAAAAATATACTTAAAATGGACAGAATGACTCTTAGACCTATATTACTTAATAATGATTTCAAACAACATTACGTCATGTTAATACAAAAATTTGTCTTCTCTAAAGGACTTGACAGCTTGGAAGCACATAATATGGAGATACAGGATAATATGTAAATGGTAACAGTGTCTTTCCAACACAATGTCTTTAAGCCAATATAGCCAGCTACCTACTTTAGTGGCAGATAGCGCATACCACTTAGACACAAAGCTTTAGAGCTAGACTGTTTGGGTTTTAATCTGGTTCTGCCACTTGTTAGCACTGAGACTTTGGGAAGTGCTATGTTTGAAGGTTTGTGTCATCTCGAAATTCTTGTTTTGACACCCAAGTCTCCAGGAAGGTGGTATTTGATGGTGGGCCCTTTAGGAAGAAATTAGGCTAAGGGATTGGACTCTTACAAGAGACATTCTCCACTATGAGTAAATACATCCAGGTGTCTCTCTGCAAGTCAGGAAAAGAATTCTCACCAGAATCTGACCACGCTAAAATAATTCTGATGTTGGCACTATAAGAAACCACAAACCCGTAAGAAATAAGTGTCTGTTGCTTAAGTTACCCAACTTATGGTATTTCTTAAAGCAGCCCACGTTATTAAACTTATTTGTGCATAGATTCTTCACTAGCAAATGGCAATAATAATACATCCTACTTCACAGATTTCCTGAGATATTTAGTTACTATATATAAAACTCTTAGGAGACCCCTTTCCCATATAAACTGTCACTATTATTATATAGGATCAGACAACATCATGATGCCCTTAAATCTATGCTTCATATAATTACTTAATTCCACTTATCCTAAATCCTCATCAGGAAACTTGTATGATATAACTTCAGGGCAATACATGGTTTGAGATGTAAATTTTCTCAGGATCTCTGAGGAATAACTACCTGAGCAATTTTTATTTGCTTATCTGAGTCTTAATCAATTAGTAGATCATAGAGATTTGCTGCCAAGAAAGCAGAATTCAGTGACAGCTTGCAACTTTTTATTACCAGCAACAGTATTTGGCTATGGATAGTTTTCCAAACACTGGCAAGGAATAGAGGCTTTTTTGAGGCTAATTATCTGTTCACCTATTTTGTTGACTGCACAAATACTCCATTGTCAATATATGTAACAATTTGACACCTAGGAAGTGAGTTCAAAATGTCTTTGAAAAGTGAAATCTTTGGCAAGTTATTTCAATATACTATAAAAATTTATAATGATATAAAGTCTTATTAACTTATTGATGGGGCTGCAGTTACCATTAACTATCTATGTAAAAAACTATGCATATAGCAGTCTTGCTAAGCTAACTTTCTTTGAAATTAGGGCAAATCATTTATAAGCAAATGAGTATTACCAGTTCAAAAAATGTTTCCCTATTATCTTGTGAATATACACATTATACTTGTTTGTTGATATCTTAAAGTAAACCTTATAGAGTCCAGTTACAAAGAGAAATAACAACATCAAAATACTAAGGATCTAGTTTTAGGAAGAGAATCTCAGTATTTCTCTTCCCAACCCTCTTGGCAAGTAGCAAGGAAAAAAGTCATATTTAGGCCCTCCCTGGTTGTACAAAGGGTTAAGCACAGTACTATGAAGCTCCTGGCAGCTACTATACCATAAGCTTGATCCCCAGTCAGGGAGGTGACCCACATGGCATGGCAGACTTCTCCTGACCCTGCACTGAGCGCAACCCTTAGCAGTGTAGATTTGCCTATTCTGTTCCTTACTCTTTCTTTGGTGTATCCTTTCACTGCCCCCCTCACCTGTTCTGTATCCCAGTTCTTGTATGCATAAATAAATACAAATGTTAAAAAAAGGCATTTTTAAAAGAGTCTTTGAAGGTGTTTAAATGTTTTTCATCAAAATTACTTCATATGTTAATTCTTAGTGTATTTATCATCTTTTGAAAAATGATGGCAGACACAGTAACCAACCTGGTACTGATTTTTTTCATTTTGACTTTCCATGACCTAGATAATCTGACATCAACCTATCCACACAACTTACGCTTTCTTGAATATACCCTTATAAGACATCAGTCTGGCCTACGCACTGCTACTGAACACACATATTCCCATATAGGGAAGAAAAAATTACTTCCTACTCTTAAGAGTTTTCAGATATACCTGAGAATTAAACTGACATAAAGCAGATGAACTGACAAAATTCATTCAAGTTTTATTAAAATGTCTTGCATGTACATGGAAGCCTTCAAAAGAGTATAAAAATCTAAAAAAAAAATTGGTGAATCTTAATACAATTTTATATATTTTGCAGAGAGAGACAGTTATCAAAAGTAACTATACTGTGGAAAGGCTAAAGAAAGATATGAATTATTATAGTAAGTTCTTTTTGTACAAATTTCCTCACCTTGATTCCCTGCTTCCCTGTCTCTGGTGATCAGACTGACTTCTTATCTCCAGGTAGAAGGAGGACATGTTTTACATGGGAATATTATCTCCTGCTGTCAGAAATAAAAAGGAGGGTCAGAGTGTCCTTCTTGCATCTGTTGTTTCCAGAGTTACCTTAACTTAAAATAATCTACATGCCACGGGTGTATTATGGGGTGACACATTCTGAACTCCTTCATCTGTCTTGTTGCCTTTGTTTGTAAGGCCCACGTGTTCCTCCTGTTCAATTCCACTCATTTTCAAGTCCTGACTTTCTTGTAGCACTTACCATACAGATTCAGCTCATGGAACTCCTGCCACATGCATTTTACAACCTGTTATTTTCAAACTATGCCTTTTGTATTGTGAATATTTGTTTAATGCATTTCCAACTAGACTAAATATCTTGGCTCATTTAATAAGTGGACACAATTGCACAAGTTTAAAACTGCATTATTTTAGAAGTGGTACATATACACAATGGAATATTACTCAGCAACCAAAAAAGATAAACACATGCCTTTTGCAGCAACATAGATGGAGCTGTAAGGGATCATGCTTAGTGAAAAAAAGCCAGGAAGAAAAGGAAAAACACTGGATGGTTTCACTCATAGCAGGAGTATAGAGGACCAGGAGAGAAAATAATAAGAATAATGAACAACTATATACCAGAGACATTTTACGGGAGTGGAGTGGGGAGTGGGATCAAAAATGGGGAGAGGGGAAGTGCACTGGACTATGGTGATGGCACAAGGGTGATTTGGTGATAGGAAGTCCATGGGGATTACAACTGAGGTAGAAAAATGCACAAAATTATGTAAAAATAAACTAATATTTTAAAAAACTGCATCATTTTAGATGCTAAAACTTGGATGCTCTATGACTGTACTAGACATCTATACCAACAAGACTGGAGTTAATAAGAACATCACAGTATTACAAAACTGAATGCTTACGACAATTCTAAATTCTTTACATGTATCATTTAACTCACAAAGGATGATGATTTTCTTTCTCTTACAACCCACATATTGGCACTACCTTTACAGTAAGGTTGCAATCCTCCCATTTGTCACTAAATTCACTAGTATCATCCTGGTTCCTGATCCCATCATTTTTCTCCTGGACTGTGGTAAGTGCATTCTCAAGAGAACATAGTATAATTCTTTAAACGTGTTAAGTCACGCTTCTGTTCAAAACTCAGGCTAGTCATTGCTCTCAAATAAAAGACAAAATTCTTTATGTTCTACAAAGATGAACATGATCCTTCTTCCTCATTCACGGAAACTGACTTATTTGTTCTGCTCTGGTCATGTTGAGTAATCTTGCTCTTCTCTACTTAAGAGTCTTTGTACTTTTGTTCATCTTGTACACACCCCCAGCTACATACGGATAGCTCCACCCCTTTAAGTGGGCACAGTTCTTTCTTTTCCAGTAAATTCTACCTTAATGGCTGTTTAATTCTACTAGTTACCCTTCAACTCCTTCCCGATTTCTCTCAATCTTTTTTAATACTAGTTATTAATCGCAGACCGGTACATTGTCTGCTTCCTCAACCTCAAAAACAGCTCTTGACCCTTGTTTTACTTAAGGCTGTATCACAAGAGCCTAAAAATAGTGTCAAGTAGATGTAAGACGATCCATATAAACCTGGCAAATGAACTTAGAGGTTAGATTTTCTTTCTCCAAAGATACTGCTCTTTAGTGATGGGCTTTAATCGACCCCTCAGCTTCTGTATTACACAAAAGGTGTAGCTACAGGAACACGACAGGTCAGGGGGCTAGCTCCTGATCTGGGTTTCGAGGACACAGGAAAAAGGAGCTAAAAAAGCACTCAACGGTGCAGTTAGCTTCTTAGAGCAGGCTGAGGAAGTCAGGGCCAACTTCCTCTCTTTCTGAGGTGACTTTGAACACTTTCCTACCCAAACAAGCTCGAGGCCACCGTGCAACTCTGCCCTTGCCCTTCTTCTGGCAGCTTCAGTGCCCTCACTTAGGTGGTCAGATCGCGCCTACACCTTTCTTTTCCGGGTCGGGCTGGTCTCGGCACGGTCCAAGGTGCGAACGTGGCGCAGGCTCGGCTTCGGGGCGCGCAGCCCCACAGGGGTAGCTGCGCAGGCCCGCGGACCGGCGGAACAGCGGACAGCTTGGCGAGGCCCCGGGCGCGTCACCGAGGCGCGGCAGCTGCGGCGGCGGCGGCAGCCTGTTCCCGCCCCGCGCGCACGCGCACGACCAACATGAGGGTCGCGGCTCTGATCAGGTAACGCGGCTTCGGGCCGCCGGTTCCTTGCAATCGGCTTCGCATCTCCGCCCGCGAACGGGACCGAGAGCCGTGGCCGCCACCGCCGGCGCCGAAAAGTGGGTGCCTGGGCCCCTGCCAGGCGTCGGGGGCGCGGCGGCTCCTCCCGATCACAGGAAGAGGTGGAGCCTCAGGGCCTTAGCGCCCAGGCCGAACGATCAGTGCTCGCGCTCGCTGCCCCTTCTGAACTTTCAGCTTGGATTCACCCGGGCAACTTTAAAATAGTACTGATGAGCTCACCGCCCAAGCTACGGCTTGATTGCTCGGCGCAGCCCGGCTCTGACTTAAAAACTGATGAGCTGTCAGAGCTACTGCTCGATTGCACTCCCTTCGCCACCCAGCCCGTTCCTCTCGCTCTCTGCGTGCTCTGAGGCTGTCCTCTCCAGTCTTCCCTTCACCTCCTCCGGGGCCTGCGCCCCAAGCCCTACCCACCCTTGTGTCCCGCATCTGCGTGATGACGAGCCTCGCCCCTCCCCGCCTTTCCTCGGGAGTTGGGATTGATCCTTTGGGCCTGTACCTTAGACTCAAGGGGGAAGCTATTGCTTCCCTGGGGGTGGATGCAATTGTATTCTCGATCCTTTTGCGGTTGCTGTGGACACCTACGATTGCTTTTAGAGTGACCTCATGCTTTCATACTCTATATTCCAAAACAAGGAAGAAATTCGTAGCATTGCCTGGACAACTAGTGACAGGCCAACCTAAACTTTTGCTTATTCTACCTGAGCTAAAGCACAAGGAAACAGTAACATTAAATAGGGAGTTTAGACTACTTGAATATTTGATGAGATTTGAACCTGTGGTCCTGACATGCTTCGCAACCATTTTCTTTGGTAAACCTGATGAAGAGTTCATAAACATCATTGGATATCCTAGAGAGTTCACGCTGACTGTAGTGACGTATTAAAGATTTTTGACCTAACGGTCTAATTAATCCCTTCTGTAGTGATAACAATACTCCAATTTCTTTTACTTCAATGCCTTTTTAGGAGACTAGCCTGTAATGTGAAAATAGTTGTTATTCAGTGAGTTTCTTCTTTAAAAGAGAGTGATTAAGCTTTGAACATTATGGTCTTCATTTCATCTGGATAGATAAAATTATATAAATAGTCCAGGAATTGAGAAATTTACATCCATAGTTTTCCAAAAGTTTAACCATTAGTCACCAACTGAAGGCTCAGCTCTCTTGAAGGGAGAGAGGGGTGGTATATCCCATTACTCTAAATATTCTGCAATGTGTATCTATTACTTTCACAATAAAAGGCAAGTTTAAAAAAAGATCATGCTGGAACATTCTTTAACTGTAAGATCTGTGTAAATGTTAGACATACTATGAGTATACAGCATGACATTTAGCTAACTATTAATACACACACATCATATACATTTGTATACATCAGCATATATTTTAATTTTAAGCTTAAATACAGTGCCTCTATTTGCAATATAGCTTTTATTTGTTTGTGTAGAACAAAATGAGTGTTGGGATATGCATTTTTTGGGGGAATTAGCAAAACCAGTACACATATATCTTCCTTATATAATGTTACACCGTAAAGAACATTATTTTCCTAGTATACAATTTTTAAAAATATCATTCAATTTTACAGTTGAATGATAACTTATGGACTAACTAGGCCATTCTCTAATTTTGTATTAAAGCATATAATCCCAAGCATTTTGTGTAATTTACTATCACAGAATTGGGAACTAAATTTCTGATCTTCTGCAGAATTTCTCATGTTACACATGGTAATATATTTTGTGACATTCTGATTGGTAAGGTAGTTGGTATATTCCAAACTTATTTGACCTTGAAAGCCTTCTGTTCTTAAAATAGTTTTTAGACCCTCCTTTTAAACAAGATAGTTAGGGAAACTTTATTTTAAAACACTTGAAATCTTAGCATATATATATTTTTAATTCTAAGGCTAAGTTCTGATTGTGGATGTATCCCCTTTAATCCACATCCATACTCTAAATGTGCTAAAGATTGGTCAGATCTTTTCTCCTGGGGAAATAAGGTAGTGAGGTTTAATAGGGAAAGCCTGAAAGATTTACTTAGCAGAATATCACACTCTAAAGAAAGAAAGAAAGAAAGTGTGATGTGTAGCTTCTGTTTGTCCTTTGCTGTCGCTGTTGTTCTGAGAAGTTATGGAATGATGGTTTTGATCATAGCATGGTAGATACAAGACAAACACTGGAAACTAATATAAAAGATAAAAAGACTAATTCTTAGGATAATCAATCTCTTTTCATTTCACAGACTACAAATAAACAAACATTCCTGAGAGTACATTTGTAGATCTCAAGCCATGATTGAAAAGAAGCAAAACAGGAGGAAAAAATGACAGGCAATGATAAAAGGAAGAAACCAGTATAATGAGGGATAGTAGAAGAGTAAACCAAAATAGCAGAAGCTGCCATTCAACCTTGTTATAGATGGACTTGCCCCTGTCTTGACTCAGCGATTTCCCTCTACCTTATACAGATTCAGTAAGGTAACCAACAAACAACTTGGTTCCCTTTCAATCTGTTTATTAGATTTATGGCTCAAGTCTTATCCTGCTATCACATATATAGTCGAGTACTGATAATACTGAAATTTAACTTATCAATGTAATTCATCATTTTGCTTTCTATCTCTACAGAATTTGAACCCACCAAGTATATCAAACTTTATCATTAGATTGGATCTCAAATCTTTAATTTGATCCTTTAATTGGTGATGGTGACCAATTGTTAGATTTCTTATCATGGAACAGATTTTTTCCTACCTCTTCACATAGAATTTCACCTAAGGAGTACATAAAATAAGTATTTAGCTGGAATATAAAATTGAATATTTTCATAAAGTACTTTGCATATGCAATAGAGTGTCATGAACCAAAAATATCATATTTTGTTAAGAATGAATGGTCTTCATTATAGTTTCTTAAGATCTTGGGATTAAACAAGTTTTGATATTTACATTCTTTTGCTATGGAAATTATATATGTATTTTGCATTCTAACTGTAAAGCAGACTTTCAAATACTCTAAAATTTTATATATATAATTAATTCTATTTTGATATCTTATGATTCTTATGATTCTGTGGTTACTAGTAGTAATGGTCATTCCCCTAATACTAATCTATTTCTATTTTTTAGTGGTGGAAAAGACAGCTGTTACAACATGATGCAGTGCATTGCTGCCGGGCATCAGATTGTTGCCTTAGCAAATTTAAGACCAGCTGAAAACCAAGGTACGTGGATTCCTTTATTGGGAAATTTCCCTCAACAACTGAAACCACAACTGTATAATTACATTCTGTTATATATGGTAGGCAAAGATAAAGGAGCCAATATTTATTTAGCACCTATTAGTTGTTAGGTTTTATACTAAGTGTTTTCACTTATACATCCTTTAATCCTCATATAAACATTTAGATAAGAGTTTTATTAGACAGATACTGAAGTTCTGAGTTTTATAAGTTTGTTCAGTTTAAAATAGCTAAAACAAGCTTGCAGAGCTGAGACTTGAAACCTACTGTTTCAGAAGGCATCAGAACATAACATCTTGCCTATAGATTACAGGCAATCTATAGATAAGATACAATCTCCTGCCTCAAGGAACTTGGGAAGTAAGACAAATATTGGTAAGTGACAATATGAATTTTATAAAAAGGATCTAATTTAGCCATCTTAGATTTAGGCTAAATGTGTGAGACTCAAAAGGCCTAACACAATACATTTCTACTTTTTAATGTGTGGTGACAGGAGTATCATCAAGCAATCTGCAGACCTCATTTTAGATACTTTTTTCAGTTTTCTCCCAAATAATGTTTCCTCAGCTGGGAAATTTTGCCCACCTTGTCCATATCTATATCCAAATTTCCCTTTTTTTATGACACTAGTCCTATTGGATGATTTGACTGCGTGTTAACTAATTACTCTTATGTTGACTCTGATTTGAATTAAGGTCACATTCTGAGATACTGGATGCAAGTTTTTAGACATAAGAATTTGGAGGGATACAATTCAACCTACAATGTATTTTTTTTGAAAACTGAGATATAATTGCTATTTAACATTGTATTAGTTTTAGGTGTAAAACCTATTGATTTGATACATGGATATACTGTGAAGTGATGACCACAAACAGTTTCATGCTTATTACCACACTTAATTACAGCATATCCCAATTGTAACTTTTTAAAAAAGAAATGTATTTATCAGTCTTATTTTTATATACTTATACCTCTATAATTATAGTTTGCAATTGCTAAAATGTGATAGGCAGAGTTTAACCCTTTTCAAACTTTGTCACTGCTTCTCCATATGGCTCTTTCAGTAAGACCATTTTGTCATTTGTTTTACCTAACATCTTTCTGGCCTCCATGCTTTTTTACTGTGCTGTTATTTTGAGATGAATTAAATGTATTGTATATATGGAGACATTTAATAGATATATAGTGACCTAATTAGAATGAGCCTTGAAGCAGTTGTTTCAGTTAGCTACTTGAAATTTTGTTCCTTCTATAAGTAAGACCCAAGTTATGATGGAAGCGAAGTAGGAGATATAAACCTTTTTTCTTTATTGGGGTATTGGTTAACAACCCTGAATATGCTTTAGGAGAATAGGTTCACACCTCTTCACATGTATGTTGCCACTGTACCCCATCACCATCATCAAAGCACCCATAGTCATTTACACTAGACCTTTGGGCCTCTCCCCTCACATGTTCCCCTACCCCCCAGCCCCCCCAACCCCTGTCTTCCTCTAGCACTCTTAATTCTATAATCAAATTTTTAGGTTTTGTTTTGGTTTGGTTTTGTCAGTTCCTCCCCTGTTTTCCAGACATGAATAAAATTGTCCAGTATTTCTCTTCTGTTTCACTCAACACAATTCCCTCCAGTTCCTTCCATGTTGTCTCAAATGGTGTTTATATTTTTATTTCATTTTCTATATACAACACATCTTTTTAATGCACTGTTATGTTGATGGATATTTAGGTTGTTTCCATAACTTGACCATTGTAAATAATGTCACAGTGAAAGAGGCATACAACTATCCCTTTGGATTAGTGTTTTTGTCTTCAGGTAGATACCTATGAGGAAAATTGTCAGGTCACATCATTGTATATTTATTTTAATTTTGTGAAGAACTGCCATACTGATTTTCATCACAACTGAATCAACCCACATTCCCATAAACAATATATGAGGGTTCCTTTTCTCCACCCCCTATCACCACTTGTTCTTCCTGATCTTTGGGATTGGCTCATTCTCATAGGCGTGAAGTGGTAAGAGATTATAAATGATAACAAGACTGGGAAAAGTCCCTGCAAATCCAGGATTTTACCACAGGTTTCTATCCATGAATAATAGCTCTTTACATAAGAGTGAAATGTTTGGAAAACAGTCTGTTCTGGCTTTAAATAATAAAGAGAAAACTCTGAGTAAAAATGAATAGGCTCCATACTGTGACTTCTATATTGTAAAAGAAGAAAGAGGATCTCCTTGTAGGATTATGTTCCCTATCAAAGGAAAAGAAATTCCCTTATTGTCTGTGGTCAGTTAGGCAAATGGTTTTTTAAGCTGTTTTGAGAGATCTTGATATTTGAAAAGCAAATGTTTTATAACATAATGTACATGTGTTATATTTTCCCTCAACTGTCTATATTGTCTTTACCTTTTCTATGTCAAATTATTATAATTACCTCATACTGAATTGCTAATGCATAATCTTCCATATGGGCATAGTTCACCGGGTGGGTAACAAACAAGTAACAAGTAACAAGCAAGTCTGTCTTTAAATTATATCTCACAGTGGAATAAAGACCTTTATTTAGAATATTGTTTGTGATAAAAAATTCAATAGTAAATGGCATGGGAACATTGTAAAGTAAATATTGGAAAATATCTGAACCTGTAGTAATTGTAGAAGAGAGATGGCTACAAATTGGGGACTGAAGAGGGCTTAGCTAATCTTGGTTTAAAGTCAGCAGGAAATTGAGGATTACTGAATGATTCATTGACTTCTTCCCCAACATGTAAGCCGAATGACTTGTAGACAGGTCTGTAGTATGTAGCAAAGATGGTTAGGGTTTTCAGTCAGGGGCCAGGAAAGGAATTTATTTCTATTAATGAGGACAATGCAAACTTGTCATAAAATTCAAGAAAGCATCTTTTTAAATTGGTAGTAGGAGCTCTGTGGTATATTAATTGAGGTGTTTCAGGCAACAGTGGAACCTTTTGGTTTTATTTGATCTCATATCACTGCTGTTCTCTAACTTCCATTAATAAATGTTATATTTTGGAAGGGACTAAATGCAGCCTTAAGGGAAAATCGCCATCTAGATTTTTGAAATCAGGAAAATGTTTTAAATATTATGCTAATATTAGGAGGTTTCTTGCTAAGAAGTTCCAAGTTCTTTAAACATATTCATTCAATTTATCAATAGCCTTTCAAACTAATGCATGTAAAAATCTAAAGTCTAACTTTGAGATAAGTGTAGACTGAAAGGATTTTGGGTGGCTGATGATATCTCTGCTTTCTCCTGGGACTGTGAGTAGACATATTTATAACAATAATGTGAATACATGGAAGCCAATCTAATGTGTGAGTTCAGAAATCTATGAGCCAAAATGTAATAGTGTATGGTGATGGGTTTGATTCTAGAAGCAGTCCTTACAATAGGTTCTTTATTGCCTTCTGATAGGATATTTTCACATTCATTGGAAAGGTTGGGCTGACTTGGCTTATGTGCATACATACATAGGGTACCTATAAGTCAGATTGTTTTGTAACCTTACTAAAAATCAGTTTTAAGTAAATGTTGTGGTATTATTGCATATAATCTTTATATATATCCATGACTCTTTTTTTCAAAAAGTAAGGTTACAAGATCAAAAAACCACTTCAGAATAGTTAAGTTCATTTGTATCATGAAAAAATCTATAGCCAGACCATAAGAGGAAGCAACATGGATACAGGATAAGTTTTGAATATTTTACCCATATTAATACTTGTTAAATCTTGTGAAAGTGATTGTGTCACTAATTTTACAATGTAAAATTGTAACTGCTCTAAACTTTTTTCTTACAGATACTTGTCACATTAACTAACTTGATATTTAATTAAGAAGATTTTCTTCTATGAGTCCACATGATTTGTGAATAACCTTGAATGATTTTAAAAAGATTAATGCAATAAAATATTTAATTGAATAAACTCCACAATTCATTGGATACATTACTTTCCCTTAAAATGTTTGTTGTATGAACTTTTTAAAATTCATATATAATTATATTTGTAATCATCAATAGAGTTGACTAGAGATAATATGAACTGGATGGCACTTCATAAATGCAGCAAGGTATAATAAATTTACTCTGCATGCAGTAAAAACTAGATGAATTTTCAAGTCCAGTGCCTTTTTCCCTTTATTTTGCTGATTATTTTCATTTAATTGTTGCAGTGGGGTCGGATGAACTGGACAGCTACATGTATCAGACTGTGGGTCATCATGCTATTGATCTGTATGCAGAAGCCATGGCTCTTCCCCTCTATCGCCGCACCATACGTGGAAGCAGCGTGGACACGGGACGAGTATACACCAAGTGTGAAGGTGATGAGGTGGAAGATCTCTATGAGCTTTTGAAACTTGTTAAGGTATGTGTGAGGACCAATTACAGCAAATGAATTTAGTGTATAACTTAGTAATACCTACTGGCTTATTTAGTAGTAAGTGATTTACAACTGTGAGTAACAACTGTGAGTAACCCAATTCTTTTCTGAAAGGATATTTTATTACTGTACCTTTGTGCTAAATCACGTTAAATTTGAATATAGTTTGGCACCCAGAATTGTACAGATACATTTTGAATGTTCATTATTGGGCTTGGCATATGGTTCTAGACACTGGAGATAGGGGGATGAACAGATCTGAAAAAATCCTTTTCTATCGGGACTACTTTCTAGTGGAAGGAGAGATAGTAATCAAAGAAAGAGATAATAATATGCTTGATGGTGGAGAAGAACTTGAAGAAGAATAAAACAGAGTCAAGGGGATAGTATTTATGGTAAGGACTGATAGTAGGCATGATGCAAAGAAAAGTGAGAGACTGAGCCTCACTTACATCTATTAGAAGAGGTATGAGTTAACTGTTACCATCACTGTATATAAGAGTTTGACAGCCACTGTGCATTCATTGTTAATTTCCCTAGACAAAATTTAGGAGAGAAAGTGTGGGACTCATATATCTAGTAAGTATTATATCCAGTGAATGTTAATTAATGGAGATTACATTATATTAAGCAATTATCTTTTTATTTTCATTATACCCAATTATTTGACTACAGTTCAGTATTTTTTTCCTTAAATATGAATTTTATCTACTCAGCTACAGTCAATTCACTTAAGGAATACTGGTGAAACAGAGAATTAAAGCCAGTATTTCCTGGCTGTGTTAACATTTCTTCACAAAGGAAAAAAAGATTTCTGTCTCTTCCTCTCCCAAGGAACACTGCATTTTTGTATCTCATTTCAGAAAAGTTCAGCCTTTCATAAATTATATTCTGGGCCTGTGTGGTAAAAATTACCTAGTCATAGTCACTTCAATGCTATCCTTTAAATTTGAGGCTGATCATAGCTTAATATCAATGAAGGATTTTGATTGAAAAATACATGAAGCCTGTATATACAAATTTTTCTAAAGTGTCCTTGCTTAAAATATTTTTTTGTATGTGAGAATATTTTCCTATTTATTTACCTATTAAAATAGAAACATAGTGAAACATTTAGGCTTGTTCCATAATTTACTGTTTGGTTGTGGATAGCACAAGAAATAGATACTTGTCAAAGGAAATCTGTTTCCTCCCTCTGGGAAGGCACCTACTAATAACAACTTGTTTGATGATCAAAGAAAAGCGGCTGGCATAACAGAGTCTCACCTTTAATGGTCTTCTCTTCATATAAACAGCTAAGATTTTGATAGTTTACTTTGAGTGAAAATTCTTCATTTTCAAAATTCTATCTTCAAAGTACAGGGAAACTGAGTAATACGTTTTTAGCATTAACCATTAGTACAGTGTGGTGGAACTCACACCAGAAATTAACTGGGGTGCTTAAAAGTTAGTGATAACAGATAACTTTGGAGAGACTTTATCATAATAACAACCTTCCAGGAAAGGGACAGATAATAAATTACAAATCAATTTAATTAAAAATGGGTAGATTAGTAGCAATTAAGAAGAAATTTCCCTTTCGATCCATGCTGTCTTTGTAGAAATGGATGGTTTGCCATTATCTTTATAGTAACAGCCAGTTATGACATAAATTATTGCTAATGTTAATTCTTGACAACTTGGCTTTGGAAGTTCATACATGGTAATTATTACTATAGTTGAAAGAGATGTTATCAAGTTGTCTAGGACTAAATAGTCCTTTCTTTTCCTGTGTGGAAATACTAATTTTAATACTGGATATTTTAAGGACATAAATATCAGAAATATATTACCTTTATGGAAGAGACTGTATAGTGAGGCTTTTATAGTTAAATCCACTTATACAAAGATTCTAATAATTCTGAATAATTAAGTAATTATGGAGAAAACAAATCTTGAAGTGCTATAATTCTTTAAGTTTGACTTCACTCTTTCTAAGAAAAAGATGGAGCTGCATTTTTTAAATCCTTTGAATATTTATAGAGCACTGAAAGCATTTACATTAATTTTCATTTTAAACATTTATTTATAATAGGTTGCAGTTGTGTGACTTTCACATTCAATCTTTTGTTTTAGAAGCTCTTTCTACACCCAAATATTAGAACTAATTATTAAGTAGGAGAGTTCTTTTTTGCAGAGTTAACTGATTAATTGTAGAAAATAATCAAGAAAGATTAGAGTTTGCAGATTTAGAAGTTTCCTAACGTTTGCAAAAGTAATAAAAAATAATAGCTGCAATGACCCATTATAGCCAAATGGCTGTCTCCTCTTGTGTCCCTCCTAGCCTTCCCCCTGCCCATCCCTCTTCTTTCCTCTTTCCCTCCTCCCCTCTCTTTCTTATTTTCTTTTTAAAATAGTTGAGCATTGAAGCCTCATACTGAGCTGCTTCTTGAGAACCGGTATCTCTACTTGCTCATGATTTCTCCACAGTAGTAACCTATGGGTGCAATGAACTCAGTAACATGGTAGGTTCGAACGTAATGAGTAAGTTCACAACTTATTTGTTATCTTTCTGCACAAATTATTCCTTTTCCTGTGTTTCCCTCATAGTTAGAAACATCATCACTTAAATCTAACCTTTGTTTCACCACTAACTAGATTTCCACTATTTTCTCTGTCCCGTCTACCACCACGACCACCACCACCACCATTTGATTTCTAAGACCTATTGATGTTCTTTAGCTCCTAAAATCTATCCCTTTGACTTCAGCCTTGGTCTGTGCTTTATGCAACCTTTAACCAACTTGCCATCAGCTGGCTTGTATAAATACTGAAATAACCCACTATTAATATAGTTTGGAACAATTAGCCTGACACAAGACTCTTTTAAAAGAGGTCCCTGCACTTCTACCAGTCAGAGGGCACCATTCCCACACAAACTTTTGAGTTCAGATTATAAGGAACTAACTACTTTTCTAGGAGGTTGCTTTATATGCCTGCATCTTGGCTTGTGCCTTTCTCTACCCTTCTTAGCTCTGTTCTCTTGAAAACTCCTTCTCACTCCACATCCTTCTAAGAAATCAGCTCCAGTTTACCTTCTTGTTTCTTCCAAGTCAGCCTACACCTACACCTCGGAACATTACTAGGATTGTTTTTGTGGCTGTCTCTTGCCCTGTTGTGTGTCCCTCAAATACATGTTTTCATTGTTCCTCTTTTTTACATCCATAAGTGGCCAGCAGTTTCTCAGCAAGTGGCTGACTCTTAAAGGATTATTGAACAAACTAGTTTAAAATTTAAGCAATTAATTTTTCATCTACTACAGAGGAGTCACAGCATTGTTACAAAACATGATATAGAACCATTGATAACTTCGCTTTATTATATTTCCTATTAGAATTTTAAGTGGATTGGGTATCATCCTGAAACTTTTCAGAATAAGGTGTCCTATCAGGTTTGGCAATGTTTCCATTAGAGTGATCAAAAATAATGTCCACCTGCAGGATATTTTATAAAAATGCTGAGCCAGACACTTTTTCAAGTTAATTTGGTGTCTTTAATCTTATTTAATTTTAGTGAATATTTACTTTGTGTGTTTCCTTCACTTTGGATCTTGAGAAGAAGCCTTCAATCATTGGGTGGCTCTGAAGCAAATCTAAAGGGCTGAAAGTGGAAGGACCATGTAGAAAGGCCTTAAGATTTATAAGGAAGACCCAAACTTGTGCTAATTAAATAGGCATGTCGCCTTGTGCAGATTGCTCCTGGCTGTTCAGCACTGCACAGCTTGCTTTAAGCCCTCTTAATTCCAAAGATTTTGGACATTAAACCTGGTCCTTTGGCACAAGAAACAGCTTTCTAGTGCTGATTCTGGACTCCAAACAGGAAGAGTTGGAATGAAAACAGACTAGTGTCAGTTGCATTACCAGGTGTGGCTTTGAAGCTATGTGTTCTCTGTCCTGTTCAGATGATAAAGTCAAGTATGCATGAGAAAGCACATGATGGATGGTCTGTCTGGAAAGAAAATGTTGGATCATACCAGTTATTACAGTTTATAAACTTATCTAGATTTAGAGATTTTATAGATGTCTCCTAAAGCCTAGGAGATGGGATTCTCTCTTCCTGATATAACTATCACCCTGTCTGCTCAACCTTGAACTTTCTCCACTTGGTTTCAGTGATGGTGTGTATATATTGCACATGCATCTATATATATTCTGCAGCCCCATAAAGTTGTAAAGTCACCAATTTGACTTTTATGTTCTTCTCTTCCTTTCTTCGATGAGCTATAGATTTCTTCCTATCTTATCATCGTCGCTGTATATCTTAAATTGTGTTGGGTTTGTTGACTTGTCATTCAAGTATCTTTCTGCTTTCAACCTATGGTATCTGTATGCTGTTATCTTTTGCTTCTCCTCCCCTACCCCCCCAACTATGCTACCATTTATTTTCTAAGAAACTTCTTGTAGATGTTTGCTTCTGGAGTTGTGTTGTATCAGACACTAGATATATGTTTCTATCCTAGTCTTTTATTTCTATGCATGTAGTTTACCTTGTCTTTATTATAGTCTCTATTAACTTAGAGACTTTCTATAGTCTCTAATAATCACTGAGAATACACTGCCAAGATTGACAAGTTAGATTTACTTTGTTGTTGTGTTTATTTTATGGGGGGGGTGCACAACTCTTTATTGGTTGGTTACACACTAATATGAAAAAACTGATCTTTTATATATGTTTTCCCTTTAAAATTGGGAACATTATCATTCGCCAAGCTTGTAGTATCTACATTATAAATACATTAAAAGTAATATCACTAAGTACTCAGTTTTAATTGATGAGTTGATTTAACAGTGGCTTATTTTGTGACATGCTGATGTGATAAAAATTTTGAATATGTTAAAAAGACGTTTTGTGTTTTCTTACCAACTTTCACTTATGTTCTATCAATAATAAACTTTTCTTACCTTTCTTTTGGAGAACATTGAATACTTCTGATGTTCCAGTAGTAT